AAAAGCATGAGTGCTCAATACATCTTTTCTCTTCACATCAATAGAGTAGTAGTTATCTGAAAAGTTTTTTTTGAGGAAAAACTCTTTTATCTTCAAACTTTTGAAAAAGAATCACAGGATTTGACAGAAATAGCCAGACATCTTCAGATAACAGGTCTCGGAAATGTAGCTTTCATTCTTAATGTACTTTTTGAATAATTACAACTATGTATAGTGAAGCTCAATAATACAACTGTGCAAAAAGAAAAAAATCAATCTTAGGAGTGCAAGACTTAAAACAGGCTGTCTTTAATATTGTGAAATCAAAACCCATGACATAAAGGTGATGGATGGAAAAATTGGCAGAGTCAAAAGAAAGAATCCCTTTTATTGGTCATGTTTTTTTGCACTTTAGCCCAGTAAAATCACTTCCCAGCTTTCAGCCCAGACAGGGAATACAGGCAGGAAGAGACAACGCATAAGAGTCCTCAAACAAAACCCTAAAATGTCTCTCCCTGTCTCAGGGAAGGAACTGTATCTAGAACCACACAAGGAATAGCTAAGACAGCAGCACTGATTTTTAAAACCTTCACTTATTTGTACGCAGGAGCTGTGAACAAAAGTGAAACTTTTCAGTCATTGAGTACTAAGCTGGGAAAAACATTTTGAAAGAAATGAAAAAGTAGTCATGTTCTATTTTCACTAACTATAATTATTAACTCTTATTTTCTTTAATTAGGGCTTTTGTGATCTCCCCAGGAACCCATCTGAGAAAAGCATGGTGGCCTTAGTCATTGAAGGTAAATAGTTCATCTAGTATTCTACATCATAGAAGTCAACTTTCACATTTCCAATGCATCTAAAAAGTTAGATTTCTGATATTATTCTGCTAAATACCAAAGTTTCACATGTAATTTGTTGGAAAGGACAGAGCTACAGTACTAGATAAATAACATGCAAGTCTATAAACACATATAGAAAAAAGACTGGACAGAAAAAGCATTCCTTCCAAGAAATCAGTGTTTCATTCATAGAACACTACTTCTAAATCGTGGAACTTTTGCCTAACAGAAAAGAATGTGGGGGTTGGGAATAGTTGATCAGGTCATATATAACTGCAGAATCAACCAACAACAATAAAATTTCATACAATAAATCTTATTAAAAGAGTACATTAAATACCGGTATGGTATAAAAGTGCATGTATCATGTTTCTGATTATAATTACAAAGTTGCTATGAGTAACTTGACACAGGCAGGATCAAAAGCATAGTGTATTAGAAAAGCCACATTTTTCTATTTCTTTTCAAATAAAGTTCTGTTACAAATGACTCTGCCACAAAACAAAGCAATGAAGACATGATAAGCTTGAATTATAATTGTATACCAAAATATATGCCTGACAAACCATTTAATTATGGATTCCATAAAAAACATGCTTATCAAGTAAATTGGACAATGCAAAGGATATAAGCCAGTTGGGATGAATTTTTTTTTTTTTTTTCATTTTCATGCTCAGCTTTTTCAGTGGTCGTCCGCTGTATGACAACTCATTCAACCTCTACATTGGATTAGGTTAGGATTTTCATAGCATTTGCATGCTGGGTTTTTACTTCTCTCTTGCTTGTCCAGTGTTGTATGATCATTAAAAAAAGTGTTTTGGCTCAAAGGCAGTACATTTGATCACAGAAAGACCCATGAGTTTGTTCAAATTAAGCAACTCAATGAAATGCAGGATGAGCATCTGGACAGAATCTGAGTGCCAGCTGTGGCTACTTCAAATTAAAGTTCACTAACTTGTCTATAAAGAGCATCATTCTTCCTCTGATTCTCAGCTCCCACTACTTCCAGAAACTGGTGTGAAAGTGACGTAAGGGAGTAGTCTCCTCAGTATATAGCAAGTAATAATCACACTCTTAGCCTGATGTTTCTTTTACAAGAAGACACCCACACAGTTGGGCATTAAACACTTTTTGTCAGAGGATAACAATATATCAAGGTATTATCACAGCTATTCATTCTGCCTTCCCTAAACCAGTAATCTCTTCAAGGCTTTGCTAGCTGCTATAATTGTGAACCTCCAGCTACACTTTCAAAAAAGTTTAAACACACATTGACTGTTGTCCTTGTTTCAGCTGGGATAGAGTTAATTTTCTTTCTAGTAGATGGTATAGTGTTATGTTTTGGGTTCAGTAGAAGAATGCTGATAACACACCCATGTTTTCAGTTGTTGCTAAGTAGCATTCAGACTAAGTCAAGGATTTTTCAGCTTCTCATGCCCAGCCAGCAAGAAGGCTGGAGGGGCACAAGAAGCTGGGAGGGGACACAGCCAGGACAGCTGACCCAAACTGGACAAAGGGGTATTCCATACCATGTGATGTCATGCCCAGTATATAAACTGGGGGGGGGGGGGTTGGCCTGGGAGGGATCACTACTTGGGAACTAACTGGGCACTGGTCAGCAGGTGGTGAGCAATTGCATTGTGCCTCACTTGTTTTGTATATTCCAATCCTTTTATTATTATTGACATTCAATATTGTTATTATTATCATTATTCTTCCTTTCTGTCCTATTAACTGTTCTTGTCTCAACTCATGAGTTTTACTTTTTTTCCCTGATTCTCTCCCCCATCCCACTTGGTGGGAGGGAAGTGAGCAAGCAGCTGTGTGGTGCTTAGTTACTGGCTGGTGTTAAACCACAACAACTGTATGCAAGGAGCTAACTATATGTTCACATTCCCTAGACACACTACCTAAAAGACACACATTATATCATGTATTCAGTCTAAGGATGTGTAGTTTGTATCTCAGTAGGAAACTCCATTTTTTATTTTGTCTCCCTTTAAAGTCTGTGTAAAAGCAGTGATACAGACATCAGACTCCTCACTGTTAAAAAAGAATTAAGTCACACCACAACTCTGTTCAATGACTTGAGTCTGCAGTGTTCTTTCCTCAGGATATTAATCTTTCTAAAAGTATTCTTGCTCTTCTACACTGTTACCATCTAATAGCAGTAATTACTTCTTGTTCTGTGTTATCAGATGTCACAGGTATTAAATGACTTTTTTTTGTCATTGGATTGAAGTATCTAAAAAAGATTTTCTTTAAGAAGCAATCACTGACAAAAGGAAGCACCTGAGCTCTAGCTTATATAGCTACGTTTGCAAAGACAGATGCAGCAGATGTGCCCGCAAACATAAATAGTCGTTAAGAAGGTCAGAAAACTGCATCTGAAGAGCCAACTGCACATCCATTCTATATATGCACTCCTGCCTAAACATAGTGGCTTAGAAGGTACATTCACATCAACATTGTTTCACAACACTATGTAAATGATATATTTAATAACTAGAGGTAACTGAATTATCAGTCTTTAGTAGATCAGCTTGCATTTTTGTTACAAAGGGAACTACGATACCATCTTTATATATGAGATATCATGACTGGAAGACAAAATGGGCTCCTAAGGACAATCCAGAAAGCATAGCAGAAAATAAACATTAGGATTTTTTATTATATATAAGCATTTACAGTATATCTTCATCAATTGAAATTTAATCACCTTTTTACAATTTAGAGGAAAAGGCAGTTTTTAGGGTAGTTAAGCCATGTATCATCAATACCATGAAGCTAACCTATCAGTTATAATAGCTCCTATAAAATACCAGAGTGAAATTGCAATAAGCCTAGAAAATGGGCTACAAATCCCAGATATGCTCAGGCAAGCACTGAACCAAAAATAAAAATAGGTAGATAGGAAACCAAGAACTAGACAGCATTCATCTAATTCACAACCACTAACAGCAGAGATCACAGGCCAAGGTTTTAAAGCATCTTATTCAGCTCCAAATGGCAATTATTGGACAGGTACTTCAATTATAAAAATGTTCCCTCTTCAAAACGAGTTACATTTCTAACAGTTACTTTCTATTCTCTCCATATATAATAGCTCTTACATTTCTCAAAAGTGCCTTACTTCTAGGCAAATTAAAATTTGAAAACATTTTAAATTCTCAAATAATAAAGAACATAGACGTTGCAGTATTTATCATGCTGGGATATGTTTATTACACACTGATAAAGAGTCTCCCACATTCTCCTTCTCTTCCAAACACTATTCTGGTAAGAAAGGAGTAGACTGCACTACAATGAATACATTTTAACATTTTAGTTTAAAACGTCAAGTGTCTCTTCTCCTCATGCCCTCCTCCAAAGAGCAAATTCTTAAAAACTCTTTAGAATCTTATTTTAGAAAAAAGCTATGGGAAAATACAGTTATTACATTGTACAAAAATGCAAGGACAGTTGGATTTTTTCCTTCACTTATAAATATTGCTCCTAGAGCTGAAAGCACTAAAAAACCCCTAAACATCTCTCATTTGTAGTCACAGCCTTAGAACAAAGGAACACATGATGTCTATGACAGGCTCATCACTAATTTGCATTAAATTTTTTGTATATTTTTTTCTTTCCCCTGACCACACAGAAGTCAACCAAAAAAAAAAGAGAATAAGGACAAATTTTTTCAAGCAGACCTTTGAAGTAAAAAAAAAAAAAAGAAAAAACAAATCAATCAGAATTGTACCACAATCCATCACAGAATGCTTTCAGTATCAGAAAAAATAACTTTGGCTTGATTTTCATTGTAAAAGGAAAGAAATATGTTTTCATATAGACATAATATATATACTGAAAATGTTAAATAACGCCCCACCCCAAACTTTTCCCTTCACTCAGTTCAAACTAAGTACTGAGAAACAGCATCAGATTGTTTCTGCCATTCAAGTACACACAAATATTCCATTACAATAGAATTGCAGTGGGAAGAGTCTAACTATTCAAAAAGAGCAAACACAATATCAGGCAGCAGTGGCACTATAGTCTTACCATTCTATTACCTACCTACAACATTAGGAAACAAGCATGAGAGGAATATACTTTTTTAAGCATGAGAGGAATATACTACTTTAAAAAAATCTGCAAGAACAGCGCATATTAGCTTACAGTAATAAAAGCACCTACCAATGCGTTCTGGTTTCCTGAAGCCTTTTTTATGTTTCTTGCTGGCATTCCATGAAGATGGCTAAATCTACTCTGGAAACCTGCAAAAAAGAAGTACGAATGGATTTAAGAGTATTTCTTATACCATATAACCAATAACATACCAAATCTATTAATCTGACTTCAGTTAAACAGAAACATCTTAATATTGTCATATATTGTACTGGTGGAAACAAAGAGCAGAGAATGGGAAAAGTGAGAGAAAGGCTAAGCTGTCATGAAAATGAACATTTCTGGAGATACTCTTACTGCCATCCTGGTTCTACGCACAGTTGGCTGCCTAAGCAGAACATACTGAACTACAGTAGGAAAATGATTTTTGCATCACTTACAACTTCATTAGTACTAGAAAATGTTAAATCTGGTGAATATGCAGAAACAGTCCTCAAATACTTCTAAGCGTCTGGAAAATAAGGCTCACAAAAGAATTCAATATATTCAGTGTGCAGAGTAGTTTAAAAGTGATTTGACCACTACTCACATAAAAGATCTGTATTTGAATGCGAAAGTAGATTCTTGTGGCAGAGGGAAAGTACAACAAAATTCTTTGGCAGCAAGATGAGGTCTGACAACTTCAATCTTTAGACAAGAGTTGGGTTCCTAACTGTAAATGCAATCTAACACTGCTACAACTTACCATTGGAAACACTGGATTCACAGTTGTCTAAACTATTTTTTTAAAAAAAAAAGTATTTTCTACATTATAATCTCAATCCTTGCTCCAAAGGAACCCTTCCCTCTTCTCTACAAACAATATGGCCTGACCATAAAGCAAAACAAAGCAGATGGTCACACTAGTCTTTCAAGCCTTTGAATTAATGAACTTCTCTAGAATTCTAAACATTATCAGAGAAGCCAGGAACAAAATGGAATATAAAGATTCTCTTTAAATAATGCTTAATAATTTTCAATGCAAACATCAAGACAACAAATAAAAGAGTAAGCTATAAAAAGAGCCAAGTTTTACACTTTCTGACTTTTCTGATCATTGACTTTTTTAAAAATTATTTCTCTCTAATGATTATCTTAAAAATGAAATAGTTCAAGGAAACAAACTGGTAACTCCAAGATCTTGTCAACATTTTACATATTTTATATAATATACAGATACCTTTCTACTGTACCCAAGTGAATCTACAGTTTGCATTTGCTTGATTGCTACTTACCTCTCCTCCCTGACCGAGACATAAGAGGGAAAGTACCAGTTAAGATACTTTCAAAGACTGGATCAGGCAATTCTCTCTCCAGTTCTGTAGAGTCTTCTTGTTCCCACCATGGAATGACCCCCGTAATTCCACATGCTCCACCAGACTCATTTTCATGAAACCAATCACTCTGCTCATCATCACCTGTGTGAGGGCAGTATCCCCCCAAGCCCCCCAAAAAAGAAGGAGGAGCAGAGAAGATAAAAATCAGATGTTACCATCAATAAACACTCTGACAGGACAATTATTTATTTTGTTTTATAGCTGTATAACAATGACTCTTATATAGGCGTTTTTATTTGCAAAATGTTTCTCAATAGCATGACAAGCATTGCCATCAATGAAATCACATAAAATGTAATGTTTTAAAACCAATTTATGATAGTGAAAAACAATAATAAACCATTTAATCCTCTGGCAATAACTGCAGGGAAATCCATTTAAGTTACTGCACTTTACATATTAACAAAAAACAAGCCTTAATCTCCTGCAGGGAATTAAAAGGTATAAAACTGTGAAACTAGTTCTTTGCAGCTGATAATGGTATATAATTAGCTTAATTTCATGATTTGTATGGCTAGTAAAAGGGGAAAACAATCATGAACAGATGTGACTAAATGAAGTTAATCTGATTAAGTTCATTTAGAAATAAGTTTTGAAAAAGTTGATTTTAAATGAAAACTGACAGTATCATGTGATTGAGAATTACACTACATTATACCAAAAAGCTGGTCATTTTTACTGACAATATTTACAGATGTAGTATTTAAATACCTGGATTTAAACTCAAAAGACAAGACTGAAAATCTGATTTTAAACTTAGCTCATAAACACACTGGCAACTAAAAAATAAATTGTTATGTTTGTTTCAAAACATGTTCTTTTATACAAACCAGGTAGTTTACAGAAGATCAGAACATATCCTCTTAAGACATGGCAAATTTCCTTCCTTGCACCCAAAAATTAGATTTCCAAGTATGTGCTGTATATTTTAATTCTACTTCAAAGTATCCCAACCATGCCTCACTACTTCTGCATATAAATTATTTGTTTGGCATTTCAATTTTTAATTAGGCAGAACTAAGCAAGACACAAATGCAAGATTTATTAGACACAATTTTCAAGAACAAAAAGCATTCGTGTAAAATTTCCTTACCACTCAACCCCAAAATGGGAAAATACAAATAATAAAAACCCAAGCTAAAATTTGAGGAAAAATAAAATTCAACACACTTTCTCCAAATAAGTTGTTGCAATGAAAAGAATACTTCAAGACCAAGCACAAGTGAAAATGGGTGTAAACATTCATCAGGACAAGTACTTCAGGAAAATAATAGAATAATTAAGGCCCTTCACTCATCACCTGCAGGTGAAATGTGATCCTTACATCTTTAATGATCTCTACTAAAGCAAAATTAGCAGAGGCTAGAGAACAGGAACTTTTAGATGGAGGAAAGGGAAAACAAGAGGTGGAAAGAGATACATAGGTCCAAATAAGATTTAAGTTCCTGGAGCATTTCAGATTACTCTCCATATTTATTCTAGTCCTCATTTATAGCTATGGCACTTCACAAAGGTGCTCACCGCTAATTCTATCCTCATTTCATAAACAGCCAGGTATGGTTTCTTTGGAGGATGTCTAAGAGTACTGAACAGAGACAGTGGTAGTGATGGAGGGAGAATCACACGTTTTCATTAGATTGATCTGTGGTTCAGAATTAAGTTTGAACTCCTTTGTTTTGATTTTAAAAACTTTTATGTAGATAAACTTTGTCGGAATATTTTGTCATAAGATGAGAGCTCTAGACATCTTGACTAATAGGAAATACTATCAGGAACTCAAAAGAAGTCTTGTTACACAATTCAGCTGTGACAGTAAGTACAGAATTCTGAAACTGGGTTTCACAATCAGCTCAAGGACAGAAGCCTGTAAGAGTTATGCAATGCAGTCTTGGAAGAAAGAGCTAGAACTTAAGACTGTGTTGGTAGACTGCAGGATAAGGCAAATTGTGGCTATGGAAGGAAATCAGTATCTTCACTATATGCCCAACCACAGTTCTTTGGGAAAAATACAAAATTACTTTTCCTTTTTGTGCAACAGGAATGTTAGTATGCTAAGCAACCATCCATTAAGATGTCTTACCTGTTATGCTATTATACACTTCCCTAAGCACTTAAGTTGTTTACTGCCAAAGGCAAACTTAAGATCTGAACCTCGTAGGTTTTGCCCATGTGACAGCAGAATCCAGGTATACCTGGTTTTTAGCTTCCTTGTCTGTGTGCTTTAAACAACTCTGAATCCTTTGACTATTTTCAATCATATTATCACCTTGAGGCAAGCATAAACCTATTACTACTATTCTTATCCAGGTGAGAGCACCCACAGGCATTTTGTTTACCAGTTACTCCACCTTGAAGGGGTAACATTTTCAAAAGGAGTCAGGGAAGACCACTGCATTTAATCAATTTCAAACCTCACACATATAGGCAATATAACACAGAGGCCTCCCCACTCAAGTTTGTAAACGCATACTTGGATTTTATCCTACTTAATTTGCAGCTCTCAAAAGGCAACACAGTGACCATAGCAAACATGAACTTTTGAGAATTAAAAATTCAAAGCAGCATTTTTTACTTCAAAATACTTCAAAAGATTCACCACACTGTTCTTTCCTCTTAAGGATGCTGATTCAGCACAAGACTACAGCAAGTGATCATATTCTTCGAAGCTACAGGAACGGTAAAACAACCTCTGGATCTCCGAGCCCACGCATTCTCCTAGCCATGTATTTAAAATACAACAAACTTGTTTGTGGGTAATGCTAAGGCCTTAAGGAATTACTTCAAAGCGATTTACATTCAATTACAACTGTACTGATCAGTACAAAAAAATTAAAATAAATTTAAGGCTCAGAAGTGTCAACTTCAATTCTAAAATTTCAAGGCACTTTAGTTCTGTCTTTAAGTTATTTAAGCTTTACCCTCCCCCCCAATTACTGTTTCCCTAATTTTCACTCTATATTATTGAGTCTACATATTTATCTAATTACCACTCCTTCATGTTAAATTACTTGCCTTCCCCTTTAAGAAGTTTAGAAAATGATTTATGTGGTCTTCTTATGGTTTCTCTATGGACATAGACCCCATCTGTATCACCATCAGTTTCACATTCAGAATAGCTTCACCTGAATCTTCTTTTAGCTAAAGCAGTGCAGGATTATAACAAACAGACTGCACTGCACACAAATAGAGTTTTCTCCCTATTCCTAGCTTTCTTTTGTTTCAAAATGGCCAGACTACCCCCACAGCAGTCACATATAGTGTACATGTGCTTGCCCATAACAACCACAACCTACTTTGAGAGGCTGCTGTGAAAAGAGTTCAGCATATAGTCCTGTAAACACAACTTGATAGTGTGCGGTTCCATTTTCCCTCAAGTCACACACAGAGAGCAACAGCACATGGACTGTAAATACCCTAGGATGCTAGTTTCATTTCCATGACCAGTGTACATCTTTCTAGGTAAAAAAAAACCCCAACACAAACCCACTGCTAACAGCTGTAATAATCATTCGGAGACATCAGAAGATTCACTATAACACATACAAGGAGTTTCGGGAAAGCAGAAGCTTAAGTTACCCATCCACTGAGGCACGCTGCACCTTGCTCTTTGTGCTCTACAGAGCTACCCTGGCAAAAGGGGTAACAGGACACCATTCAGACACCATTGAATTTAAGCAGCTAGTTCTTCTGATTCAAGCTTGAAAACTTCACATGAAGGTCTCCTCCCAGCCCTCCCATTCAATGTAGTATCATACCCTGTTCTTGAGTAGGACGACTGTACGGGTCTGCCATTAATAAATTAGACCAAGGATATCACGTCATCTCAGCTTTATGTTCACCTCTACCCCTGTGATCCACAGGCAATATTTAGGACTTCAACTATAAAGTAACTTCATGTTATTTCTTTTTCACCTGCAAAGACTATAAACTGATTAGCCACAACAGTTCAAAACTGGTGTGATTACACTTAGCATTGCACATTCCATTTCTTTTATACATGGAGAATGACGCCCTGACACCTGCAGCTACTGAGATGCCATACAAGGTCCAAATTAGTTTCTTGCTAGAGAAGACAAAAGGGTGGAATTGTCATATACTGAATCAGTAGTGGGTCATCTTCATAAAGGACACAGTAATGAATATATGTTTAATCATAAAATAATGAACAGCTATCTTTAAAAGCTCAGCTGCATCCACAGTGGAACTCTGACATTCCCTGACCTTCTCCAATTTTAACTGTTTAACACTTCATTAATATAATTTTCCTTCCTACTTGCTTAGATCTTAAAGGATATTTCAGGTACTGCATGTCATGATTTAAGAGGTCTTAAGTCAACTTTGAATTTCCCCAAGTGTACTAGTAGGTGTAGATGCACTAGGAATGCAGAATATGTTTTATTTGCCATACCCACACTATAAAATTCATTAAAGAATATACTTGCAGTTTGACTTTTTCCCCAAAACAGCAATAATATCAACTATTGTTTGAAAAATGTTAGTTTTGTTAACATTGCATTGAAAGCTTAACTTATAAAGTGCCTTTGTAAAGCAGACCTGTGAAGTGCCTTGAAATTGCAGGTGATCCTACTAGCTAGGCCTATTATAGAGTTGTAGTATATGTTGCAAAGTAAGATTAGACCTTTTGTTTTGAAACTCTTCTTGTAAAAGTTTTCTACACTGGGCATAACATTGCTTATCATTAAAGTTTTTAATAATTGCAAAACAGCCATTGATGAAAATGCTATTAGGAATAAAGGAAAGAGTAGGAAGAAAAAAGGAAAGTCATAAGGATTTCTGATACATAAGCTTCAGCCACTGTTCAGTTCTTTCAATTACTTTGTTGGCAGGCTGTCCCACCTCCATACTCAAGGGCTTGATATCTGCATAGGATTTTGGGTTTTCGCTAACACTATTAAATCTTACCCCAAACTTGACCAATTTATAAACCTCTGAAAAAACCAAGCCCTAAGAATTCACCTGAGGTTTGTTAATAGTTCAGCAGCCATCTTCTTCACTGACTGTACCTGTACTGAGCATTTTCCATAACCTTTAAGCTTTTGCTGGCTAACTGCACAAGGTATGCAATGTTTCACAGAAGAAAAACACTTGCCACATTGGGATTGCAAAACATCTGAGTACCAATTACTTCTGCCAGAAAGTAATATGATAGTGGAATAGAGCACAGCAAAAGACCTGCCTTTTGCCCTCTCACATGACCCAAGGTAAGTACCTGGATAACTTGGAAAAGGAGGACAAGCATGGCTATGCTCAGATGAGCACTTTCTAGGAACAAAACAAATCAAACAAAAAAAAGCTGTGAGACTGGAACAGAGGCAGGCTGGAAAGGAAAAGGGTATAAAGGTCTTTTAAAAAAAATGTTAGCTGGCACACCACACACTAGAAGTTGAACACAGGATTTTCAAGTCTCAGCAATTTTCTTTTATCATAGCAATTAATGACAATTAAAATATATCTAGCAATTAACCCACTATTACCCCCAATTACAGCTACACCTGGTTTTCTTGAATCAAATTATAAAAGTTGAAACTATTCTGAGACTCTGTGCACAGAATAATACAGTTACTGTGGTGGAATTTATTTCTGTTTCGTTTCAGAAACAATTTTGGAAAGTATTAAAAGTTCCAAGGTCAGGCACTCCAAAGTTCAGAACTAAATACTCAACTATTTAACTGGCTGGCCAACTGCTCAAAGAAGCTGCTGCTTTAGATCACTTTCTTTTCTAGAATGTCTGTCCCATAGGATGAATATGCTTTGGGAATTAATTAGGGTTTTATAAAGAGTATTTGTCTGCAATAAATGAGATATGGTTCTTAATCTCAGAGACACAAAATGAACAAATGTTGCCCTGGAGAAAAGGATCCTCTTGTCCTCTACTACCCAAACTTCTGAATGATGGCAGACACATCATTTAAACCAAGTATTTCACCAGGCGGCATTAATCAATCTCTGGTTCTCCACCTGACTTAACAGAAACCTGAAGTCAGAAGTGCAGAAAATTTGAACTACAAATGAGGTCAAGATGTTGATGTTCTGAACATATATCCTGGAAGAGGGACACTGGGAAGACAGAAATCAGAGTCTAGCTTTTAAAAACAGACAACAAAATCAGCCAGTTCTTCCCTTAATACATTTTCATCCTGTCCTCTTCCAGCTTCATTTCTCTCACCCAGGCTTTTCCGTTGCTTTTATCAGATTTATTTTCTCCTTCCTTCATCCTTTTCAATTTTGTATGTGCATCAGTTCAGCTATAAATTAATTTACAGAGATAAAATAACCTCATCTTACTTCATAAGGGGAGTACAAAGATAAAAATTATTCCCCCCCAAAGAAAATGGTAGTAAGTATTATTAGAAAATAAACAATTTTGGTTTTGCAGTAGGATCTCTCATAGTACTTTCATGGAAAAGTCTTCACAAAACCAAAACTATAATGGAGATCTAAGAACGTCTGAGATCCAGTGTCAAGTTAATGGCCTTCTGATCATACCCACAAAATAATTAGTCCAAAGTAGAGATTAAAAAAAAAAATAATGTTTTGTCCTGACAATATCCTTCTCAATTATTGTTGTTCTTTTTATTTATATTTCAGAACACTATTTCAGGTCTAATGCTCTCTGCTTGAAAATGACAATCAAACTGAACCAAAGTTCAAAAATCAAACAGGCAAAAATAAGAATTACAGCTCTATAGTAAAGAACCAACACTAAAAAAAGATAACACCACACCAGTGAAAGAACACTGCTGTTCAGCAATCCCTCCCTTCTTTTCTTCTCCCACAAAAACTTATAAGAAAAACAGAAAGTAACTGAGATTTTCAACAATATTATTCAAAGATTTAAATAATTTAGTTCAGGATTTAAGGACAAAAATATTGATACGAATATATAGGAAAGGTACTTCAAAAATGTATGCAATTACAAAATGTCGTAGGTCATGCTGCATACAAATATAGAGGACAAATGTTTTAAAAATTGCAAGTTAAAAAGAGAAATTCGTATAGGGAAGTAAAAGCAAATCTTTTTGATGTGTCTCATATTGAAAAACTTAAAGTATTGAAACACTGAAGTTAAAAGATCAATCTAAACTTTCAGAGAGAACCTAAATTCTTCAAAAAAAGCTATGTGTTAGCACAACTAAAACCAGATACTGAGACTGGGAGGTACAGTTTATGTAGCACAAGTTACTGTTGCACAAGGAAGGTAACACCTCTACTCTAAATCTGAAAAATCATCTCCCTCCTGTAACTTTAAAATAGAAGACAAAAAAACCAGAAGAGAGAAATACACATTAGAGAAAGAAAAGAAAATAAGAACAACATTCCTTTAACCTAGATCTGTGGAATGGGCCAGGATTTGTTTTCTTGCACACACTCAAGTAGTCTGTCACTAACTGCATAAGAAAATAATCTCCATTACCATTAACTTGGAATTGCCAACAGAAAAGCCAGTCTTAATCTTCTGGGAGACTATTTTTTGCCTCATTTTTTGTATATTGTCAGAGACAGTGAGTTCCTAGTCTGTGAGCTGGGCACTAAGATGCTAATACAGGTAAATGTGTTGCACTTAAAGATGGCAATAAACACTAATGCTGAAAAAAAAATAATCCTGTACTTGCATCCTCAAAGGAAAATATTGAATCTTCACTGCATTTTAGATTAAAGAAATTTTTTTCAGAGGGGAGAGACTTTAAACAGCATGCATCTTCCAATCTCAATCTTAGACTGCTGAAAAAATTGTTTGTTTGAAAAGTAGTTTCAAACTACCGAAGAACTATAAATTCCTTCCATATTAATCTGGAAGAAAAGAAAGAAAAAAGCCACCTCAAAAATAGTTTGAGAAGCAGTACCATGATCATGGAGTCCTGTCTGAAAATTGGAGCAACTGAAGAATTGAAACTTAGCATAGATGATCTTTTGGAGATTCTCAAGTTATAAGTAAGTTTACTGTATTACAGAAACAGCTTTTGACTAAGTCATGGATTCAGGACACCCTCTGATAACATTTCAAAAAACCCAGAAAGCAAGCTATACTTCAACTCATTAAAATAGTAATAGCAACTGAAATAGAGTAATTGACCTATGAAATAATTTGTAACGCTTACAGAATTTCAACTGAAGTGGTTTGAGGGGTGGAGAAGGGAAAGATTGTTTCAATACCTTGTCTTCCCTCATCATTGGTAAACAAACCAGCATCACTGCTGCTCAGACTGCTGGATTCACTGTAATAAGAGAAAGAAAGAAACAGATCAAAAGAACAATTGATCTTTCAGTCGTAAAATTTTAAGGAGACAAGGCTGTGCTCAGATTGAACTTAAGCCCAACAGAGATCGGAAAGAAAATAGGATGATTTTTTTTAATCAAACTGCAAATATCCTAGTTCCATTAACTACAAAGCATATTATTTTTGGCACATAAAACCACAGGAATCTAATGGTACCCTGACAGTAAGCCAGATGTGACTGCAACGAGGTGCTGACACAATTGATGCATTTTATTATCTGCTTCCATCAAATGCTCACTGCTCTCTTCTTATGCTGTGCAATTCAGCTTGATCCTGGAACACCACTGCTCAATAAAATAGGAAAAGTCTCAATCAAAAGCAGCCTAAGCCTTCCTTCAGCACATGAAATATAAGAGTCCGAAAATCAAATTACCTTTCTGAACATCATTTGCAAATATTCTGGAAAAGACACTGCTTAAGGTTTCATGACATACTACTTCGGGAGAAAGAAAAAAGTTTATAACAAAGGTAGCCAATTAAATCAAAATAAAGGTCACCCTGAAAAAAATAAGTATGATCAACAATAAGATCAACAGAAGCAGCAAGGTACAGTTTACTTCTCTGTCACTTCCGTCTTGGCTTTAAAATTAGAATGTGTGTATACAACATGCACACACTTCTCTCTAAATTGAAAGATATCAATAAGGATTTTGTTCTTTGCTGTATACACTGTTACAAACAATATTCCACATGTCTAAATAGTAAAACAGACTTGTCTTTTAATAACACAGATTACAATTTGGTGAGTTTCACACAAAAGGATTTTTTTGTAAACAATTTATTTCATTTTTTGTCAGAGTAGCTCTGCAAAGGAAGTAATATTCTCACCATAATTCAAAATTTAATCACATTTTACTTACATCGCAATGTAGAACAATTTGGAAAAAAAAAATCACTTCAGTTCACCACACAAATTCAAGTACAAGTTACAAATACGATAGCTACTCAGTGTTGCATACAAGCTACTTACAATAACTTGAGGTCTGATTACCTTTCTACACTTATTCATATTAAAACATACATGCAGTCCTATACTTGAATTCAACTGGTTTCAATTATTTTTAGTTAATTCCTAATAATAAATCAGTTTTATTTTTGTTTCTAAATAACTAGTACACCTAGGAAAATTATTTCCTTTTATATGTTCATCTCTCACAAAAATGAGCCTTTTTTCAAAGCTTGTAATATGAATTATATAAACTTAGTCTAATTTGTGTTTAATTATAAGTATATATTTGCTTTTTGTATCTTCCTTTATGAGGCATCCCAACAGGATTTGAAACACAACATGGTATCAGGAGACAAAGCAGTGATTTTTACTTTTTTTTTTTTAAAATATATATACACACAGCTCTGGGTTTGAAGACTATGTTTTCCTACTCTTTGCTGTATCTTCTGCTTATCCACATTCTTACTGTATAAGCAATATTTATACCATCTTTTATACATAGTATCATCAGAAAAGACTTAATCACTTGCACAGTTGCCTGAACCAGAAGAAAGATGACAGGTGTGCAATGAGAATGGAACCATCTTTCACGGAGACCAGAACTTGAACTTCCTAATGTTGCAAATCCTAGTAACTTCCTTCTAGCAAGTGTCCCATCTTCACTTTAATTACAACATAGATGGCTTTACTGTCCTCGCATTTCATTGTGCACAATTTTACATCATACATCTCATAAAAACCCCATCCCTTTTTCATAGATTCTTCCTGTATATTTATTGTTTAATTGTACTTTTTAAAATGAAAGTTAGGAAATCCTTTCAGTCCTAGTATTTCAGCCAATTTCCCCACAAAAATTTCCAATTTTGAGAACAATCTTCTTCCTTTTTTCTAAAAGATATTTTAATTGTGCAATAATTCTTACTGAAGGACTAGCCAGTTCATAAAAACATAACCACTTGAAATTTTAAAAACTACACATAATAATGTTTTGGGTTTTTTAAAAAAAAATCAAACCATAACACTGGCATATCCATGGCAGCCCCAGTGTTCATTCTCCTCAGGCCACAGTCAAATAGGGCAGGGATTACAGCCGAGATAATTGCTACATGGTAGTCACTTCACTGAATAAATTCAAAACGTCTGGAATTAATACATTAATATCCAAGTACATGAAAGCTGTTATGATGGAATTGATTTCAGGTTTTAATATAATTTTGCATTGTATATTGCTAATTCCTTTGCTTTGCAGTGAGAGTTCTGCTCCCAGCAAGACTTCCAGGAAAAAGAAAAACCACGCATTCCTTTTAGACCTATAAAATAGTGTATGCAAGCAAAAACTTGGAACGAACAGCTCTGTTATCCAAAAAGCTTTCACAGCTTTATACATTTGTGGAAACAAAGAAGAAATCATTTTTATTTTTAGTTACTAGTAGCAAACTGTCCCATACCTTGGTTTCATATGACACTTGTGACCTTTGTTTACCAACCAAGCCTGTTCGCAAGAACTGACCAGCCACTGTACTTGCTCTGACTGGCAGGCCAGCGGGTGCGCCTCCCCAAGTTCCACTGCTGCTCTTTCAAAAGGGGCAATTGAGATTTCTCCTCTATTTAGTCACTAAAAATGCAAACAATTGCCAAAGCTTGCAGGAATTAAATATCATCCAAAACTCCACACATTGTCAAATTTGGCTGAAACTGGCCAAGGAGCTAAGCATTGAGGATAAGGGGGAATGAGCGAAGGACAGGCTCTGATCATGCAAATCTAATTTCCCGTGCTCAAAACCAACCTCACAGAAATTCATCTTTGGGATCATTTAGATGCTGACATTGTAAGAGCTTGAAGACTCCTCCTACTACTCCTGAACCCTGCACTTAAAAACCAGTTATTGTTGTGTTTGGTGTTTGAACACACACAGATAAAAAGACTGTGAAAGTAGTGTCACTTAGCATTTTTAATCTGCGCTTCAAGCATGTATGTTATTTTAAAGTAATTTCATGTATACACTGAAAACTTCTCCTCACCAGTTTTAAATCCAAACAATTTAACTCCCATTAAAAATTATTGGCTTTCATTTTAAAAAACTGAACTTCTAAAACATTAATCATTTTTTAAATTAATAATTATTAAACTGTATGCACACAAATATACAAAATCAGAGCAGCTTTGTATACTTTTTATTTTTCCTCTTCTAACAAGTACTGCTGAAGCATGAGTCTTATCCAAGATGCTTTGTTAGCTCTCCGTATCTTGTGTAATCTTACAAAACTCATGTTCCCTTTTAAAAACTCAGCTTTTACTCTTAGAACATACTCTTAGGAACAGAGTTTGCTAGTTGTTTCCAATTCTTCTGGCTAAACAATCTCAAACAGTAGAGACACTATTGCATTTCAGTAAGGTTAGTTTAAAATGAGTTAAAATTATTCACATACAAAATATTCAGGTACAGTATGCACCCAATAGGCTTAGATATGGTGGATTTCTAATCACACTACGGAATGCAAATTTTCTAATTCAGTGGTTTCCAAACCTTTTGCTACAGATGACCACTGCAAGAAATTCAGAATGACAGACCATCACTCAGCCATGTGCATGAGCAGAAAACACTATGAAAATGAGAATGGTTTTAAAGGCCATTTACTGGGGCCAGTGACAAACATTTGAAGTACGATTTGAAAAACAACTGCATTCGCTGTAACAAAACACTAAGCATTCTGAAGAGGAAGATGAATTTTTAAATCAGTAACATTTCTTTTGTGAAAAAGTAAAAAGATATTCAGACTGACCTGTGAGTAGCAGTTTTGGGAGTCTACAAGAGGATTTTCATACTGATCACTCTTCTCTCCACCCAAAAATTAGCTACAGAATTTGAGTTGGAGAACTGCTACCCTTGTAGCGTAACAGAAAATCTTTTATAAATAAAAAAGTGACAAGACTATGCACATACGATAAACTGTGTAATGGTTCCTAGCTCCAAGAAAATTTTTAACCATCTGTCTTTAGGTACCAAACTTGGGGGAACAGATTCCCAGTATCATCAAAGAAGGAAGTTTTCTAAAGGCTTCCTGACAACACACACTCCCATCTTGCATGTCAAAGTGAGATGTCTGAAGTTACACTGGCTGCCCTGAAGGACTGTGTCTGCTCTAGTAATTAAGACATTAGGAACAATCTTTTAAGACCCAGGATTCATTCAGCTCTTTCAGCTGCTTATTGTTCACAGGTGAGGGACAAAACCAGTATGTCATAAAAAGACTTCAAAAAACTTTTCTGACAATAACTGGAGTTAGTCACTCGCCTACTGTTATTACAGTAAACAATCTGTTCTGGTCAAAACCCCTGGGTACTCTCTGCATCTCAATTCTACCTCTCCACTAAGGAAAAGGCTTGACAGTTTATAGATAAAATGCCTACAAGAAAACAGGGACACTAGCGCTGTCAAGCAACTCACCAAAATTATATATGTTTTAATATGAGTCTTTCTCGTTGACAGTTCTGCATTCAGAACCAGGCAAATGGAATAAACATAATCAAGCTTACCAGGCACTGCAGGTAACATCCCTTGTGTGTGGTGGAAAAATGACTTACACCTTACTGTGTTGTCAAAGTAGTACTTTGGAAACAATTACCATTGTAGTATGACTGCTGTCTGGAATGGATGGATGAGGTGTACTGCCAAAGGGTCATCATTCCCCCATTTTTCTAATGGTAAGCTCAGGTGTTTCTGAACTGTAAATTGGTTTTTGCATTTCGTAAATGATGTATATCCTTGGCAACCTGCAGACTTTTTATGCCCATGACACATAAGAACATACTGTCTAAATGGTGACTCTAAACACTGACAACCTTTCTGATGAATAGAGATAACAATCAAAGCACCAATGTCTAGAAATTGTAAAAACACTTAATTTTTGTCTGAGAACTGTCACCAGTTGAAACACCCAGAAAAAAACATATTAATCATTTGTATATTCTGTCATTCTTAATCTTGAAACAATTAGAATGTATTATTTCAAGAAACTGTTTTCTTGGTTATTCCTCTGCTACATGACTCTCTATTTTATGTTGAATTCCTTAACCCGAGCAACTCATGCATATTACAAATAGTAGACTTAAAATATTTAAGAGTAGCTTACTAAAACAGGTACTATTGATGCTAGCATTTTAACTCTGGAATTAAAGAAAAATCCAAAGATTCCCAATACAAGCAACAGTAATAAAAGTAAATAAATATTATCCAATGTTTCTGTAATGAGGAAGAGAAAGAATAACCTGTCACTCATGTTCTCATCTGAGCCTTTTTGCTCCTCGTACTCCATTTTGTCCTTATTTGCTTGGTTCACTTCTTCATTTTCTATAACTACCCCTTCATCCAAGACTTCTGGTCCTTGTCGAACTGCAGCTACTTTTCTTTTTTTCACTTTGCTCTTGGAAAACTCTTGGTGTTGGTATGATTTATTGTTATTGTCCATTTCTTGATCTCTGCTGTTATCCTGCTGTTGAGTTATTGTCAGCGCATTAGAGACTTCTGATGGCAGATCTATTGCCATCCGTTTTACCTTTCTTCTCCTGCGCAAAGTTCTGTTTCCCAAACTGTCAACAGCCAAATCTGGTTCATGCCACAGAGGCCTTTTGCCTCTAATATTATTTAAGTTTGAGGAAGGTCTACGTTTAGCAACCAACAACTGGTCATCAGAGTCACTGTGGTCTTTCTTATTAGCATGATTCTCCCTGTAGTCTTTGTTTGATTCTTCTAAACTGGAATCAGAACCTTCACTTAAGCAGTGACCAGTCTCCCAGGGATGATGTGTGGTAAACGAACGTCTTTTTCGTCCCCTCCTTTTCCTTGCCTGTCGCTTTAAAAGACAAGACACACTTCGAGAATGATCTCCAGTATCAGCAAAACCTCCTCTGGCTTGCTCTGAACTTTCTTCCAGTGCTGAAACGAGATCGTGAACCAGCTCCTCCATAGTCCTACTGAAATGCCTATATATTTCAAAGCAAAAAAAATAAAACACACAAGAAAACAACAAATTAATCTGAAGTGTTAAGCATAAACTCTATAAAAATTTTACCTGCCAAAATTATTGCAGTCACTTTAGGCAAGCTAGTCTTAATGTCCGTCCTATAAAGATTATTGTAGTTCTGCTGAGAGACAAAACCTTGCCAACCAGTCCTATGCAATTTGCAACACATCAGCATACATTCCTTTTAAAAGGTATCTTCCCAAATTTCTGTCTTGGAAAGAGATGGGGAGGGGGGTGGGGTGTCCCCATTTGGTTTTGACCTCACTATTATTGTTTGGTTTTAATTAATTTCATCACATTTTTACATTTTTTTCAGGGATTCTGCATGCTGAGAGCATCAGCAAAGCCCATTCACTAACTGCAGGTAGGGAGCACATTTTAAATTTATGAATGGGAAATAGAATACATAATATTCCTCCTTGATAGTATATTAGGGAGTTCTGTTTAAGAGTTGTCATTATGATAAAATATTTTTAAGGATAATTATCTCTTGATGCTGCCTAAATGCCAAAATGAAGACAGTAATTCTTTGATAAAATATGACTTTTTTTTAATAGTGACTAATTCTGTCTTTCCAAATGGCTGATATGTGTTTGATATTTTTAAAATATTGATTCAGTGGAGTGATATTAAGTTGAGACAATACCCTGCTACAGGTAATTCTAGAGTATTAAATGCAGAGTTTTCCACCACATGTAGACACTCACATCCATAGAATCACACACTTGTGTAAGGAAAAATGTCCCTAAACACACACAGTGTCTGACTAAGGCCTTACCCTTTTAAATGTTTTGCTCCTTCCTCCTCAAATTTCACTAGCATTTAGCATGTCTTTAACTCAGTATGCTTCAGTAAGTTCACCCATGCATTATATGAACACAATTATGAAAAGAAGAGAAAACGTTAAAATGACTGCTGCTGAACTCTAATCCTTCTCTGAAGGCTGTGAACCTTCTCTGTAAACACAGCAATCAGATTCCCACATCAAAGCATCAGAAGACCCCTTTCGTTGAGGTAAAACAGAGAATAATGTTCATGCTCTTTACTGCATTATAACAACTGATAAATATCAGGAAGACACTCAGTAAATTATGTAGAGGATGTTTAAAAGCAAGACTCTTCACTTTGTTTTACAACATAAGAGGAATTAACAAATAGTTTTCTACCCATACCAGCAGAGCTGTAGATGTGGAAAAAACCTGGACACAACACACAGGTTCCCTCTCTCACTTACCACAAATTCCAATGTTAAGGGTACTTAACAGTGATGGCTGAATAGACAGTCATGACCGTAAAGTACACAAACTTCAAATATTAATGGAGGAACTGAAGAGCATGTTTAAGAAGAAATCCAAGCTGGTAATGAAATATCTTACCTAAAGAAGTGATATATTCTCCTCTTAAACCATTTTCAGAAACACTTATTTTAAACATTTCAATTGAAAGATCACCAAAAGCACAGAGAGTGGTAGAAACACAAGCTCATTTTGAATTCCTGAAACTACTGTGTCACTTGCATTTATTTCTCATACCTCTTTTACTGTCCTGCTGTAATCTCTAGTCCTATTACTCCCTCTTAACCTAACATTTTCTTTGGCTCTTAGTACAGCAGAATCATCATATTATCTTGTAAGGGGTGAGACAGCTCTGGAAGAATGCTACACTTTCTCCTTAATCCATTTGGTTCACAAGAATCAAAACCTCCATAATCACAAAAAATTACTTCTCAGGAGCAAGAAAAGCAACATAGTAGGAGAAGCATTCCAAATGAAGCAATGATTTTCTGAAAATTCAGAGAAAGAGAAAAGTAGAAGTCAATTAACCTAGAAATTGCTTTGAGACATGCAGCATCAAAATGATTTAAAACTAATTCTTCCTTTGAGTTTTCAAAGTTTCAATTACTGTGGAGGGTTTTAGCAGGGTATGGGGGTTTTGTTGGGCTTTTGCTTGGGGTTTTTGCTTGTGTAGTAGGAATTCCAACAATCAGTAGAGGCAAGTCCAGGTATATCTGTACAGGGCTTCTATGCATGATGCCTAAATAGATATATTAACCCATGTTTAACAGGTTATAGCAGTTATAGCAGTAGCTATAACTGCACAATGGGGAAGGCACTAGCCCCGTTAGTCTTAATATTAGACACCCATGAAGACAGCTATTCTTGCAGGTGCGCATATCAGAAATGAGATGCCCTTGAGATTTAAAGGGCTTTCTAATACTTCTGCACTAAAATAACAGGAACCGTAAGAGTCAAACAGGCAAACTCCAGTACCTTTATCTGGTTTGAGACATCAACTCCCCCAACTGCCTACCCAGCCCTTCTGCCACAGGCATTTGCATTTATAGCAAACTGATAGAAGTGGAGGCATACCAAAAACTGAACTAGTAGGCTTAAACCTACATTTAGCTCTCAAAACAAACAGGTTTCTGTTAACTTGCCAGAATATGAACTAGCATATATAATCTCTTGCAGCCCATTCTGCTAGTGTCCCTGCAGCACAAAGTAAAAGGGAAAGGGAAGACAGGGACACTAATGTCTTACACCACAGTTTATGATTAATTAGTTCAATTCAGTATCCCTAATCCATATGGATAACTACATCACTAAAATCAATGTAGCTCCTAGAGTGGACATACCAATTTACTCCAGATAATGGCTAAGCATGGTGGTAAAGTTGCCTTAGTTTTATGAAATACTTCAAGATCAAACACAATAAATCCAGCTTGGATTTATATATCTGATCTAAACTTGCCTTGAATTCCTCCTAAAATACATTCAATACAGAAGGTGCCAGATCAAAAGATGAAACTCAAGAAGAGTGAACACCCATAAGTATTTTTGAAGTAAAGGGATAATATGATTCTTAAAAGGCCCTGAGCAGTAAAGGCACTTAATTTCCATCTGACTACAACTTTGAATCCTATGCACTCCTGCAGTTAATCTTTTCTATTGAATATCAAGTCTCTTCATTGCAACTCCTGAACTAAGATCTGTACAGGGCAGTGACCTTGTTTACCCTAAAAATTACAGCCATAGTCTCATGTATAATAACTGTATCCTAACTGCATTACCTCTTAGATCAGACAAATTAATATTATAATTACTTCAACATGTTTCCTTAAGATGATTATGAGAATTACTTCATCAATTTGGAACAGTGGAAGCTCCTTCGTAACAGATTGAGAATACAATAAACATACTACTTCATGTTTTTATTCACATTGCACTTTCAACATGCTAGTGGTCCACATTAAAACTCCTTCTCCTGGAAGTCAAGGAAATCTCTTTTGATTAATTTTATTGGAGCTCTCATTTCTCTTGCTACAATGAATTAAAAAAAATGGCAATGGCAACCAGATAGAACAGTTTATCTGAAACCTGTCTCCAAAATTCAGGAGCATATTTGTGTTACAGCATTATTTATCAGACAAACTCAGTTTCGCAACTTTCTCCACTGTTCACAACCAGCTCTCAAGTTAGTATTCCAAACCTATGAAGTAATTGTAATCATCACTGCAGATGTTACTGTAACAAAAATATTTGCATTTGAAATAGGTTGAAAAATAACTACAAGAAGTATTAAAGACATTACCAGTGAGTATGAACTGTATTCAGTAAGATGAGAAATTTCAAAGGTTGTAATAAGGAACGCAGAACAACATATTGAGGTACATAAAATATTAAGTTGAGCCATAGTTTAGCATGACTCACATAAGGCTATAAAAATGCTGTTACAGCAACAGCCCACAGCTAGCAATAAACTGTAATGTCTTCACTAGGAGAAGATTCTACTTTAAGAAAATCTAGTTTGCCTACACTGACCTTTACATTTATCTGAAGCAGTTTTAATGTAGTTCACCAAAGGCTGACCTATTTCCTCTCTAACCCCTACCAGAACAGACCATAAAAGTACTTTCGCAGGAAACAGTGTAACTGCTTTCACCTACCCCAAAACAGTTCACACAGCTTATGTTCAGCATTAATATCTGCATTAAAACTCCTAATGGAAATAATGGGCACTTGCTTTTTCAGTGAAAATCAATTATCATTTTTGTTCACTTTCCACCAAAAGCACGTAACAATGTAAAGTACTGCTCACAAAATATTTAACAAACACTTACACACTGAGAGGAAAGCTAATTTGGTTGCACAACTTGTAAGGAGAGGCAGTATCTTTTGCTAAACCGACAGATGCATTTACATTTACTCTGTAGTTCCATACCTTTTCCTGTGAAATAGATATGGGCTTTGTGGCAGCTAAAGTTATGCTACATCTGTGTTTCAACAATTTTGAAAAGAACCATGACTTCTGCTGCCTTCACAACCCACCTTGATCACAAGCTAAGGGCACAAGAAAAATCAAGTAGTTTCTTTAATATCAGGATTACAAAACCTTACTTTCTGTAATCTTTTCCCATACAGATTCTCTGATGTCTCGTAACACAGCTGTACTCACAATGTATCTTTATCTTTGGACAGACTAATCTGAATCCCATTTTTCCACCCCAGAAGTTATTTTCACAAAGCCTTAGAAACATTAGCTTTAAGACCTCTGCTTTATTGGTGAATGTGACTGAAATTTGGATTGAACAGGTGCAAGTATTTGAGAGGGAACAGCAGATGATAAATCTCACCACCTTGCCTGAAGAACTTACAGATTCAAAAAAAGACAGCTATCACAGTTCTTGGGATGCACAAAAGCAAAAGCAAAACAGAGCAACACAACTTAGTTAAAAGTATTAAAAAGCTAGCAAGAGACTAGATGAGGAAATAACTGATAAACCTACGTTACATAGAAGCTTATTGTATACATCAGAAACAGAAGCTGTGTCTAGATTATTTAAACTTGCCTGTCATCAAATGGCCATCACTAAGAGGAGGACACAAAGCATCCAGTTCCACATCCACACCGAGCTAGGTATTGTCTGCTGGACAACCAGGTATGGAAGGCTACACAATGACCAAAATGCATTCTAGCCTGTACCAACCATCGCTGGGGGGCATAACAGCTAGCTATTGGGCTACTGAGAATCCCCATACTCTTCCCCTTCTGAGGATCCTGCCCAGTGCTTCCTGTAAAGACTAAGAGCCAATGCACTAGCAACACATTCAGAGTAAATCTGACATGCAGACCAAAAAAACTTAATACAAATGTAGTTTTCATATTATAAAATTTAAAAATATGACAGTGTCAGAACAGAAACTTACAGAAACTAAATGTTAAGAAAACATAATTATTTTGAGTTTCATATAAGATAGTGCAAACAGTTACAAGAATTGAGGACGCTTGAGATAAGTCAGGATACTATTGTGGAGCACGTCTATATCTGAAAAGGGAAAAATAACCCCCAAATCTCAGGCCATTTCTCATCTTCATGGAATGCCAACTCTCCTTTTTTGTAGTCAGTTATGTCTGTATATAAATCAGTTTCACAAAAATAATGAAAGTACAGGAGGAGTTTAAAAAAGTTATGAAAGTCATTGTTCTACAATTAAAGACAATTACTACATTTGCTGAAAAATTCTATAAATTCTTTTTTATATCAAATATACAACTCCCATACATTTAGTTGTATACAATTACTAGCAACATTTTATTCCTCCGATCACACACTACACAGCAATGGGTACCAACTCTGTATTTGAGAAACTTCTTTAGACAAGTTTTGGAATTTCCTTGCACTTGTCCTATACAATATAAAGTTACTAGCATTTGAGGAATGATGGAATTTTATTAACTGGTTATGTCGCTGATCCCCCTAAAAATTTGGGCCACACAAACTTGCAATAAGTACATCTGACTTTTCTACAACTGCTGCTTATCTAAGAAAGCACAACAATAAATAGTATCAAGTCTACTCATACTTAACAGTGAAAAAGTGTTCAGTAAGGAGCAATGGTATACAGTCAGAAAGATGCTGACATGAACTGCATTTAATAAGGCTCTAACACAAATGAATTGGTTAGCCAGAAATGAGATTTAGAGCAATTTATCACGAGAGGTAGCAATTCTTGCAATCCCATTGCTGCCATTTACTGATATGCTTTGCCCTTTTCAGAAGTATGACTTCATTAATTAATTGCCAAGGTGGAGAATCACTTAACAGTCAAATGATGGTAATACACTATAGCACCAAAGTCATTATCAAAAGAATCAGAGTGCCCAGTAAATACTCAAAATGCAAACTATTCCTAAATTGTCACATGTATTCACAACATGAATGAAAAACTTTCAGCTTCACAGGAGCTTTACCACCCAAAGTGAATACTCATACTCTGTGGCTATTCTGAATCTACTCACTTCTTTAGGGTCTTAATGTTTTTAGAAAGCACAAGTTCTTGATTTGCTACATCAAGTATTAGTAATTGAAAAAAATATTTTCCTGCATCTCACTCAAATAGGTTTCCTTTAACGGACAGCTTCTGAAATAACTTATGTATAAAGATAAGAAAAGAGAGTGGCTCTGAGGAGTAGTCAGATTTTTAACACATCTTCCTTCAGAACTACTAAACTAACAGTCCTATAGATAAGCTTTCAAAAATTCTCTCTGTACTGAATTCCCCTAGGCAATATATTTGCACAAGCAAAATCATTACTATCTGATGACAATTAGAGAAGAACATGCCAAATTCCCACACCTTGTGTTGCTGAACACTATTGTTAAAGCCTCTGGAACTAAATTACTTTGTGAACACAAACCAGTAAAATTTAAAGACAAATTACAGGTTAAGTATATAATGAAAACTTTCTCAGAGTTCCGACACAAGTTCAGTATGTCTTAGGCAATGTTTCTACGGTATGCAGCATTAGTACCGAAATAAAAATACTCTGACACTAGAGCATACCTCATTCTATGAATTGTTCTGAATCACACCAACAGAAGTAAAGTTACATTTACACCAAGCAAATTCAGATGCCTAGCAATACTGGCAAACTTCTTCTAGCAAATATGTATATCATCTGGGCAAATAAAATCCCTCTTTGAAAGCTTTCGCATTTAGAAAAATGTAAAGATGACAGGAAAATACCCACAGGAAAAAAGTGGTGGTATCACCAGAAGTGGAGGAGGAATGGAGTTTCCTATGTAAGAAAACCAAGTGCTGAGCCTTTCTCTTCGTCTTCTTCCCCATCCCCAGAAATGAAACAAAGAAAAACATGAAAGAAAATCTATTTCAGATCTGGGAACTCTACCCCCAGGAGTCTGTATACATAACAATCTCTAAAAAAGCCTCAAGGGCTCAAATTATCCACATTCAAGAAAAAAAACCACAAACAAAACCACACCACACTCCACTTCTGTTAAGAAAAGTGAAATGAACTAGAAGTTATACACATCAGTTGACACCTAACATATCACAAGATATCTAACATTTCACATAGAAAATGAAAGGCTTCCCAGCTGGTTGTTTGGGACACCTCACCTCCATCAAGTCTCTGCATTACCAGTCTTTATACCTCCATGGCCTATTAACAAAATTCAGTTTTCCCTTTTTCTACTCTGTTACTCAGTTTCCCCTCTTCACAGTTCTACAATAGAAACAATATGGCCTTTGCGGTCACTGTGCTAGTATATGGAATTACATAAAACAGTGAATCTGTGAATTCTGCTGCAGCAGAGCTTGACGTACTTTCCTTGCTCATTGCCTGCAGCCGCACTTGTTGATTCTTGGTTTGCAACAAAATAGCTTCAGAGCAGCAACCACAACCGACCGATTGTTTCTGCAGCATACACTGCAAAGGGTTTAGGCCTTAAGAGGGTCTACCACCATTAGAAAAACCCAAACACACACACACAAATGAGTAAACCTGGGACAAAAGTTTTGATTTATCGTTTGCCTGCTGTCCTTTTTTTAGCAACGAGGGGAAGTTTCTTCCTCCAGCCCACTGCTCGCTGACAAACACGGCGACCCGTCCAGACGTGCCAGCGGCACCTGCCAGGCCTCCAGCCCCCCCTCCCCCGGAGGCCTCGGGCTGAGAGGGAAGCACCAACGTCTCTCCCCCAGCGTAACCGGCAGCAGCGGGCCGGGGGGGCGCAGGCCGGGAGAGGCCTGGCAGCCCGCCGGGCAGCCGGGGCGGGGGCACCACTTGCCCCCACGTTTCCAAGCCCCACGCAGAGCGCGGAGACGGTGTTTCCGATCCCCTCCCCCAAATACCGGCACCGCCCCCGCGGCCCCACGGAACGGCAGGGGGCGGCGGAGGCGACCCCCCCCCCCGGGCCGGGGGGGGCCCCCGCGGCGGGCCCCCGCCCCACGGGCCTGGGCTTACCAGCTCTTTCTCGCCGCCTGAGCTCGGGTCGGGGTAGGTTCAGCGACCCGGAACATGAACCCGGCGCCTCCCCCGGCCGCTCCCCGGGGAGGCTGGCGCCACTTCGCAGAGACTGGGCCGAGGGTGGACGGGGCGGGGGCCGGCGGCGAAGCCGGGGGCTGGCGGGCGAGGGCCGGGAGGGGAGGATGCGGGCGGCCAGCGCTGCTCCTTAGTCCCCCATGATGAGAGCCCGGAAGCAGCTGCGGCACCGGGAGGAAGCCGGGCGCGACCATCTCGCCTCTTCCCCTCCAGCTTCGGACCGCTGCCCAGAGGCGCCGCGTCCCCGCCAGCGCTCCCTGCCTTGGCTCCGCTTCCGTCCCGGTCCAGCTCTGTGGGGCTCCCGTTGCCGCCGGTGCCCTGCCGTTCCCCGCCGGCAGGGCTGCGTTGGGGAGCGCCACCCCCGCGCCCGCGCGGAGTGGTACGGTCCGGTTGCCATGGTGGCGGCGTCGGGAGGGCGGGAAGGAGGGAGGGAGCATGGCCGCCCTGGCCCGGCTTCAGGCGAGGCTATCGGGGCTGCGGGAGGAGTATTTCCGTAGGAACAGGTAACCGGGTCGTGCCGGTGGTGGGGCGGGACGCACCCCCTCATGCTGGGCTGGGGCTGCGGCTGGCGGGACGGGCAGCCCCCGGTCTCCCCCGGCAACGAGACGGCGGTACTCCCGCTGAAAACGGCTTGGCTTTAAAACCCCTGCCGAGAGCACCCACTCCCTTGCCCCCCAAAACTGCCAGAGTGATCTGAGGAGACCTAATGGCAGCAGCACGGTTTCTTTAAAGGGGTCCGGTTATGCACTGAAAACAGCGTCCCGCTCTTCCCCCTTCCCCTGATGATTTTGAGGCAAAAGGAGCCTCTGGAAACTCCCGAGAGGCGCTGAGCCTCGCGAGTTCAGCGCCTGTCCCCCCCGCGGGGGCCGGCCTCCCCTCATCCCGCCTCAGGAGCCGGCCTCCCCTCATCCCGCCTCAGGAGCCGGCCTCCCCTCATCCCGCCTCGGGTGCCGGCCTCCCCTCATCCCCCCTCAGGCGCCGGCCGCCCCCCCCCGCGGCCCGCCC